AATCTAAAACTTATGTTTTATTATATTTTGTATCTTTATATTTTTATTGCACCAAGATCCAAGGCATAAAAATATGAAAACGTACTCAAGGGATTTTTGTTTAAAAACATTTAAAAAGCGCTTAGCACCAAAAAAAATATAAAATAACAATTTTATAGTCACTCCAAGCAGCCCCAAGTGAGCAAACCAGAAGAAGCAGTATGCTGAGAGAGTAAAAAAAATATGACAAACATGAAACCTTACAAAACATTACGTAGCGTCGCATGGGAAATAAAACAGGAACACTCATGAACAAAACAAAAGAAGAGAAATGAAAGAGAACACAATGCAAGGCGTTACCCACAGCATTACACATGACCATGTAGGAAGACCATTTCCCTGTCCGAAAGTGACAATGAAGGCATGCTTATGCACTTGTCATTAAATTGCCTGATAAAGTACGCTTCAATAATCTCCCTTTCGGTCTTTTCACGTGCCTTGGCCATGACTGATGCACTCTCAAACCGGAGGGTGCATCCACATGTCCTACAGTGGAAATCTAAATGACCACCATTTTTTCCTTTTACGGCCAGACTGTGCTCACGCAAGCGTTCGTTGAGGCAACGCCCTGTCTGCCCTATGTACACCCTCCCACACGACAAAGGGATGAGATATACAACAGCAAATACACACCTAATGAACACTAACGCGTGCTTTTTTGTGCATTTTGCCTTCTTCTGTTTAGTCATCAAGGAACAGATCTGACCTAACTTTGTAGGTGCTGAAAACAGTACATCAACACCGTACCTATTAGCCACCTTTTTTACATTGTGCGAAACACTATGTAAGTACGGCATAACATAAATAGGCCTCCTCTCCCTTCCTTTGACTCTTGGACCCCCGCCCTTGTATTTATTAAGAAGGCTTTCGCAAGCACTACTACAATCTGTGCCGGGTATCCAGCCGCGCCCAGACGAGCTACCTGATGCGGATACACCCCTGGTTTGAGAGTGCGTCAGTCATGAAGGGGAAGGCACGTGAAAAGACCAAAAGGGAGATCATCGAAGCGTACTTTATCAGGCAATTTAATGACAAGTGCATAAGCATGCCTTCATTGTCACTTTCGGACAGGGAAATGGTCTTCCTACATGGTCATGTATAATGTTGTGGGTAACGCTTTGCATTGTGTTCTCTTCCATTTGTCTTCTTTTGTTTTGTTCATGAGTGTTCCTGTTTTATTTCCCATGCGACGCTACGTAATGCTTTGTAAGGTTTTATGTTTGTTATTATTTTTTTTTTTTTTACTCTCTCGGCGTACTGCTTCTTCTGGTTTGCTCACTTGGGGCTGCTTGGAGTGACTATAAAATTGTTACTTTATAGTTTTTTCGGTGCTAAGCGCTTTTTAAATGTTTTTAAACAAAAGTCTCTAGAGTACGTTTTCATATTTTTATGCCTTGGATCTTGGTGCAATAAGAATATAAAAATAGAAAATATAATAAAAGATAAGCTTTAGATTAAACAAGAGCGCACACCTTGGCAATATGCAGTTTAGATTGTGGTGGGTTCACTTTTGTATTTTGCAATTTTTTGCATTTGTTATTGTGGTGGCAGTCACATTTGATTTGATTTCTTTTGGTACGGCTTTGTCTGCGGGATCTTTGGTTTTATGCGCATTGTGGAAGCACAGCGTAGCATGCGTATATAATGGCTTCAAGAAACGACAATAAACAGTTGATAGTCTGCGCTCTTTTTTGTCTCCCTTGTTTTCCTTCAAGTTTGTGCAGCTAATCAATTTTTCAAGTATGAACCAACTAGTCAGTAAAAAAGTATTGCTTCAACATATTAAATAAACGTGTTTGGCTTGGTTCGTTTCGACCACGTCTGCTGTGTTCGTTCACTTCAAGATCGTGGTGGCGCTCCCCCCATTGAGACCCCACAGCACGGATAAAAGCGTGAACATCCCAACTGCGCGCCACTCGAAACTCTCAAAAACATGTGCAGAATGCGTGCAGCGTAAAAGCAAAGCAACGCTTTTTCAAAACAGAGAAGAGAGGTTGACTTTTAAGTAACGAGTTTTCTCCCCACAACCACCGGCAGTGCCACGCACCGCAGCGCCCTCCGCGGCGTGGGTTTCCTCTATAGCTAAACAAGAAATAGGATAAACCTCAGTAAATAATGAGATCCAATAATATAGGAAATGCAAGAAATGAAAGTTGGAGATTTTGATTTCGCAAACATGGTTTCTACAGAGCAACTGGCTCAGCTATTTAATTAGGCATGGCTGTGCTGGAGAGCTACCACTAATGTGCATGTGACAACAATACACATAATCCTTAAAAACCACTTCTTCGCCCTTCCTTTCAAGGATACGGTCCGCACCAAGGGGTGACTGAACCCTAAGAAAAATGAAGACGCTAGTCAACCAGCTCAGCATGTGACAATAGCAGCTCTGAAGCTGCTCACCCACCTCGAAGTTCCCACACCAACTCAGTGCGACATTATAGATTGTCATGGCATCTGCTGAAGCCTGCATAATCGTTTGTCACTAAAAATTACTTACGTTGTGCTCCGAGGGACTAGCTTTATAAAATTTTACATCATTGTGGCCAAAATATGCAAAAGGACTTCGAAATCCGTTCATGTGTTATGTTTCAGTATGAAATTTAAGCGTAAGTGTGACCTTAATTTCCCTTTTGAATAATTAACCTTTAATAGTGAAATTATTTACATTATTATCAATAATTCATTTAATTTGTAATGGCCAAGTTATGTCATGCTCAATTCGCAAGTGTATTTTTTAGACAATACAGATTTTCTATAAAAATTTTATGACAGTTACGCCCATGTTCTCTTCACAAATGAACTCTATGCAGAGCAATAAAACCTTGTAGCACCTAAATGTCTTTCCAAATGAGTAACTAGCCAAAATTTGTGAATTACCATTTCAATTACTAGCTTGAGAGCCTGTTTTTAAATGGATGAGTTCTACGATGAGACAACATATGACATACCCAATTTTCAAAATTCACAAAAAATGCACATATTTTGAAATAATAATAGTAATTGAAATTTGGCGGACCGATCTAGGCGAAACAGAAACTGAGTGCATTAGGCCCACAGAAAATCCATCAGCCCTGTTCGTTCGCACCCAAACCTCATGTGACAATTTTTCAATAAAGGTGTGTCACAGCAGAGTATGGTCTGCAACAACGGCAAGTTGTCCCAAATACCTAAACGGGCTGCTTATTCTTTGATTGGTGTGAGGTGCTTATCTGTTTCATTTGTGATGTACAAAAAAAAACTGCAATTTCTATTTTTTTTTTCTACTCTACAGCTTAAAACTAGGAAGCAGTCACTGCAGCGCTACTTCTCGCAGAAAAGCGAATGAGTTCATTGCCCTTCTTGGCAGTCGGCAGTTGAGGCTCCTGAGAACATGCAAGCCAAACATTATAGTGCAGCACAAAGTCTGGAAGTTACAATATTTTCAAAGTCAGCGAGAAATTGTTCGCTCCCCTCTAGACAAAGAATGCCATGTTCCCAAATAAACTGAGGCACAGACAAAAATGACACGACTATGAATAGGGTGAGCCGCGTGGTTACCGCGAACTCGGCTGGTGCTCTGACATGCGCCACACGATCACATAAGTTGCATGTTCGAAAAAAATAAAAGAAAGCGCTCAAAGCTACGATGCGTGCTGACGAAAGGACGTAGTTTTTTTCCTTCCTTGTCATCCCTCTCAAACAGCCTTCGGCGCACTCGCCAGTATGAAAGGAGAGAGAAACTGATTGAAGCGAGTAACAAATCCATGTAACTCTACTGAGGCAATAAACTTCTTTAATAAATCAATTTGATGGTTACTCAAAGAACAGTTGCAGGGTGCCTTTAATGAAGTGTCGCACTTCACGTAGTGTCCCCTTGACTCGAGAAAAATGGGTAAGGCTAGGTTAGGTTAGGTGCTACACCAACATATGGTATGGCCTCAGGCTGGAGTCTCCGACTATTTTAGTTTACCAACGATGATGAATTATTGTCAGAACTGCTATAAAATAAAGATAACTGATGGACACCTCACATACATTGGAATCGGTTATAGAGGAAGCCTTCTTTCTGCACTCAAACGTTGCCATCGCTTTTATACGGCTCAGTGCTCCTTGCTCAACGCACATTCTGATACCTTATGGTTCCTCCCATATTGTCACTTCCTGTCATTATATTCTCTACTTTGACTAAATATTGACTTTCTGCAGACACCACGGGCTATTTTCATGACTAGTGATCTGCATGGAGCAGTGCGACAAGACAGAGAAGCAAGACACATATAAAACATATTGAAGATACTTGGTGCAACTTTGCACTTCCACAAACAAACACACATTCACCCAGGGAAACTTGCAAAAACGCATACCACACGCCCCAGTTTGATATAAAAAAAAATTATTAACTCTAACCAACTAGCCCGGCATCGTGCTCCAGTAACTTGTAGTACACACGCTCACAAAACTCGGAATACCAGACAGTTGGCCACTCGTTAAAGGGAGCATGCTGATCTCCCTAGCAAACGGTGCTCGCTTTCGAAAGCATTAAAACTGGCATTACATTTTGCCAAATGCTGGCATTAGGTGCATCTTAGCAGTGTCACACATGACCAGTTGGTAGATGGGGTTTGTGATAAGCTGTGTTGCACACGTGTATTCGAGCATGCACACTCAAGCAAGCAGGTTGGAGCTTGGGGCGAACAGGTTGGAGCTTGGGCCCTTTTCGTCGTTTAGGCATCATTATACTGACAAGGCAACATACTTATGGTATACAAAGCTGGCAAATCCAGCATTTTGTCAAACCTAAGAAGCACATAGTGCTAGCCTTTTGGCACAAGGCAACAACATTCTAGATGCATTATGGCGTGAGGCTTCGTCGCTAGGGACGCCGCACATGCACACTTCACCAACAACGCCCGCCTGTTCAATATTTGGAACAACTCTGCGAGCACTTGTACATATAGCAAAAGGTCACATGCACTCACTCGAGGTTGGTCTTGGGCAGCTCATCTTCACGGTTGTCTACCGGTGGCCGTGGTTCGTGCTGTTCGCTCTCCGTGTCAGAGTCATCCTCCACGTTGTCACGCTCCCCGTTGTTCTCCAGCTCAGAGCTGCTCTCGGAGTTGTCCTGAGCTGTTCGCCACACGTGAATCACATTTACCACACTTTTCAAAACTTTAGTGAAACTGACAGAGTCAATACTATCAACTGCATGCACAGAGAGTTGAATAAGCAGTTATGTGCTAAATTATGCTACAATTAAAGTTTGGACTTTATTTGCTTGAGACACTTTGACAAAATCTGCTAACATCAAGTTTCCAAACACTACATTCCCTAGTAGTAGTCCTGAAATGGTGAGTATTTGTCTTTCGTGTTTTTGCACGCATCACGAGTGGACATAAATGAATAAATCAGTAAACTGAATTAGTTTGCTCTCCGTTAGAGGCGTTCTACATGAAATTGAAGGGCGAAGATTGCGTCAGCCAGACGTTGGTGTGTTGCGGGAGTACGAATTTCAATTGCTATGCAGCAATATGCTTTAGCATTTGGTATGAGGAGCTTTGCAAAGTGCAGAGTCGTGTTTGTGATGTATGATCTGCATTTTTTTTTCCACAGTTCTTTCGTAATTAAAATAGTTGGTAGTAGCACCCGTTCCTGCTTACTTGTCTCCTGTGTCATTTTTTTTTGCGCTCTATTTTTATTTTTAGACAATGCACCAATTTGCTTGGGAAGGCAATCTATTAATTAAATTGACAGCTGGTCTTCTGAATGCACAAACCTTCCAAGAAAATTAGCTTCCTCCAATCGTTGTGCTCTACAATTGTAGCTGCATCCGGATTTGCAAAGGCCGAATCGCCACGGCTCACTCACAGGCATCTGCCCACTCCCGGGGCGCCTCGCCCGTGCAGTCCATGGGGATCTTGTCCATGCAGCGCTTGTGGACATTGAATTTGCAGTCCTTGCACTGGAGCCCTTGACGGAAGAGGCCCTTGAGCAGCCGCTTGCAGTGTTGGCACACCGTCGGCTTGGCGTACGAATGCACCACGAACGTGTGCGGTATGCAGATGCGGCCCGCCAGCTCCCGCTCCACCCAGACAGGACGCCCCATGTTCAGCGACGGGGACCGCTTCTCTCGCGAAGTGGACGACAAGCTGCTCCCACTGCTGAGCAACTGTGCACAGCAAGGGCCATTGGTATGAAACAGCGAAGTGTAGGACTAAGCAGCTGCGAAGTTGCTTAGATGAGGACACAAGAAAATACAAACACACAGGACCTGACGCTGTGTGTTCAGCAATAAGCCATGCACTTCTATGTACTGAAGTACAGTAAAATGCACTTATAAGCATAGGTCGGCAAAACTGTGGAGCTCACTCGGACTCAGACTCACAAAAACTTTACTGAGCTGAACTTACTCACTCACACTCACCAAAACATTGCTCACCTGGACTCGCTCCGACTCACGGCTCGATGTGAGTCTCAGTGAGTCGACTCATGGATCTGCAGACATTTGATTTAGTCTTTATGCAAGCTGATCGATGGTTGGCTCACACATGTGCTACTGCTACTATCGATATGCTACACCTCAATCATCATATGTGTTTCTTCCTTCGTATGCCAGTACAAGACTGCGAATTCACCAAATTTAGGCATATTCACCCTCTAGACAGTGCAAGGAAAGATTAGAAGGTAAGCTTCTGGTTAGTGAACTCTTGTGTTCCAATACTTTGTGGTTAATTACGCAGCCAATCTGTCTTGCGTAGAAGCGTCAGAAATTCCGACTACAGAAAAGGAGGAAGAGGATACTGCCACTACATTGTTTGAGACCTCCAATCTAGAAAAGGTGTGTAACGTCTGGTGTGTAAATTATATACCAACTCACCACATTGTGATCGTCACTGAAGGTAGCTGCGCTAGATGCAGTCCGTTGGATTGCTTCCGTTGGGCTCCGAGGGTACATCGAGGTGGAGGACCGCCGCCGCCGTGTGTGGCTGCAGTTATTTGGGATCTTGTATGCGCACCGTTTGTGGTAGTTGAGCCCACAGCCTGTAACGCACAAAAACAAAAAGATGCAATCCTCAGGTCAAAGTTGTAGAGGTACCTATGATGGTGGTGCACCAAAGGCTCTGAGCGCAACGCTTAAAACTTGAAGAAAGGACAGAAAAGAGACAAAAGAGTGCCAACTACCAACTGTTAGAAGCATTTCAGGTTAGAAGGAAAGAGTCCATCTGTCACAGTGACACATCAATTCTGCTATAAAGATATGAGTTATGTTTTTTGATAGACAGCTTACGTGACATGTCCTGATGTCATTCTTTACGAAGGTGTGTTTACTCCGCCATACAAATCTCTTGCATACAGACAAAGTGGGAAGCTCAGAGAATGCTGACAAGACATTATATTTTATTATTAAAATATTATTTATTTTGATGCTTGTGCGTCATGAAAACGTTCAATTGGCCACTTGTGCGTCACCAATGGAGCCGCGGTTCAGAGCAGCCGTGAAAACATCGCGATATCTTGCATGAGCACGTCATGGGAAGCTCATACAGTGTTGTAGTGTGAACGTACTGTAAAACGAAAACTAGAATTTAAAATCATTACTTTTTCAGAGAGCATACCCGCTTAGCAGTACATTTTCTGGATTTTTGATGGCTTGACCTTTCATTAGACGCAAAAAGACAACAACTGAAAGTTTTCGCGTCAGTAGTCATTTAATGCCACTGCACATGCATGGACATCTACCTGCTTTTCAGCTTTGGCTGACAATAAACAGTTGGTTGTAGGAACTTCTCTGTCTCTTCCCATTTCTTTTCTTCAGGTTTCAAGCGTTGTACCAGGAATAACACATCTAGCAAACTTTGGCACCAGTACTGCCAAGAGAAAGTTTTCTAGCGATAGCACGGCTACCAGTTATTATGTACGTCCAAGCAAAAACGAAATGCAAGCAGTAAGAGGTGACGTAGAACATCTGTTAAACATATAATTAACCAAGATAGCAATGTGTCATTCTCGTACAAATGTATGCTAAATCACGCTATATAGTGAGTCCAATGTAGCAACAAGAAACTCCCGGATTTCCCACATAAGTACATCACAGTTTCATAATACGAAATTTGCTGTGAGAGTATGACTTCCGTTCAACACCCCACGTTTGTACATGCCCACTTTGGGAGTATACATTCATTCCAGCTGTGTGGCACCTGAATGCATTTCATTACAAAAACCATTGCTGACTGTGAGAAGATGTTTGGTAAGCAAGAAAATGTGCAAAAAGAAAATGCTATACGCAACACCGCCTAGCAATTCCAACCTCAGTTTCTGCATGCGTCACCATGATGTCATCGATTCTGACAACATCTGCTGGGGCTACGTAATTGTTTATCGGTAAAGAATGTTTCAATTGTGTTGTGAGAGACCCAAAGGCTTAACATAAAGAGTTTCAAGAAATTTCATTCAATCAACGCCGGCCAGAATACGCAAAATGACAAATTCCTGGCGTCGCACTGACATTAACATGCTAAATCTTCAGCACAAAATTCAAGTATAGAGCTTTATGTCCTTTTCGAATAATAATTTTATCATGATAAAATGACCAAAGTGCCATGAAACAGCAGCTGCGCAAAAATGATCGTCTTCCTGCATCGCTGAAATTTTCAACTTTAGCTTCCCTCTAAAGAAACATTGCAAGCAGCATGTCTTGGTGTCAACCAATAACTTGATAATAACTGTTGGAATTCGATGCAGTACACTCTCCTCAAGCAAAACATGAAAAGGCCGAGAAAATGTGTTCTGTGAAACAGGAGTGCCATTTGCTAGACATGAACAAAGGGGCAGAATTCAAGGGCGAAACCAATCATATAAGATTCTAATAAAGCCAGCAATTTCATTTAAGAGCCTTTTGTTACTCGAGAGTCTGCTGTACTTGATTGGCAGAGGATCCATGCTCACCCTCGCACTTCAGGCCTTGCCGGACCAGGCCAAAGAGCATCTCGCCACAGAAGTCGCAGAAGGTGGGCGTCTTGTACGAGTGCACCGTTAGTGAGTGCGGCCGGATCTGGACATCGTCACTCGGGTTTTGGGCTGCAACAGGCAAAGAAAAGAAGCAAAGGAAAACATTGACAGCACAAGCAGGGGTCCACAAGAAGCCCCAATAGACCTTTTCCAACAATCCCCAAAACGCCCCGCGGGTGCGCAGAGCACAGTGGAAACAGTGTGTGCGCCGAGCGAGGCTGCTGTTGCGGCGTGCACGCTGCTCATTGGTGCCGTGAAAGCACAAAATATTAGATATTATTAATATTATGAACGCTAAATATGTCAGAGCCTACCTGCATGTATCTTTACGCATGAAACATGAAAAGAGTAGGGAGTTTTAGTGCTGGGTACCCAAGCGGCTTGCATACCCAGGATGTTGGGGCGGCGGTATTGCGCATGCGCGAAACCCTAAACAGATGCATCGCAAGATCGCTGGGGCGATGGGGCCATGCGTCCGCGCGGTCCACCTTCGCAAGAACTCACGGTATCCGCACTGCGGATACCGTGAGTTCTCTATCTCTAGCCTCTAGCCGTCGAGTTAGCCGTTACTCTAGTGGTCGAGTTAAAATAAGCCAAAGTGCGAGCACTTATAGCGATTACACGGTTTCGGCCAGATTTCCAAAGCTAGAATGGCCTGGAACATAGAAACTAAAAGACATATGCCAGCCCCCGACCAGCTGAATAGGTGGCGCCATCTAGCGTGGCCATAGTGAAACAGACAACCACAACTTTATTGCAGAAACATTGTGCATTGTACATCTGGTGCAAAAACTGCGCAGCGACAATATTACAAATGAGTAACCCCTTTATTCATTTTCACCTCAAAAACATTATGCGTAAGCCAAAATGTTCATGACTGCGGTTGCACGAAGTGTCACAAGATGTCGACACTGTCGTTACAATAACCTTGTGTTTTTCACTTTTTTGCGTATACCAGATTACTGTACACAATAAATAAAGTGTCCTGATCACTATGTATGCTTAATTTAACATTTTAAATCATAAAAAGCCTTAAATAATACTTACGCGACAAGACGCTATGGCTCAGCGAGCGCGTGTGAACTTCGTGCGGCTTGCGTTTGCGTGCGTGCCACCGTGGCGCCAACTAAAAGGCATACCCGCTTGAGTATGGGTTGGGCACGCAACGCCGCGCGCTCCCAAGCCCGCAAGGCCCCAAGAGAATGCGTACCCAGCACTAAAACTCCCTATTGACACAGTCAATGTAGGTATCAATGGGCAGATGAGCTTAAAGGCACGCGAGTTGTTGCGTACTACAGTATTGCGTACTGATACACATACAGTCAAAACGTACTATGGTGAGGAATGTGAGGTGGGACATTTAATTCATATTAATTCAATGATTAACTGCTCATGAGGGCTATGACATTTAATACCTTCGCGATGTGATTGGGCCATTACACCAAACTGTGGTTAAGTTTTACAGAATGATTTGATTTTTATTGATAACTAACACACTGTAAAAAAAACAGTGAGTACATTCTGATTGTGTTTAAAGAGGAAGGAATAAAACTAGAATCCACTTGTGAGGTACTTTGCTCGAAATAATTTGCGGTTTATTAATATTTGCTTCGTCACTGTGGAGCATGTCTGCTGACAGTATATTCCATTCAGCGAAACCGGGGTTGAATTTCGTGTCGGCACATTATTCAACGAGAAATAATGACGTCATGCTTATGCTCGGCATTGAAGAAAAAACAAAATAAAACTTGAGCCCATTACCCGTGCAATAGTTTCCAGCTGCAAATTGATAACCTCAAGGAGGCGCGGTAATCTGTGTATCATATTGCATCGGTTTGAGAACAGCTCATTCACAGTGCAAAAAAAAAAAAAAACAAAAACAAACAGATTCCCCCACCCATGCAGAAAAACTAATAATACTGCAGTTATTCCACATATACGTAAATAGCACGGTCTCAGAGAATTTTGGGAAGAGGAAGTGTTGTGTTTTCCAAACCTTAGTTACATTTCAATAAACAATTATATCGGACCAGTTGGTATGAATCCAGTTACATTTGTGCCACAGTGCACAGAAGGTCGCAGGGGTCAGTAGGCAGAAAAAAAAATACTGTCAAAGACATGGCAATTGTTCTCCCACTTGTTGTGAAGGGGATGCTAACCGAATTCCTCTTTCTGGTGTTCACATATACACATTCGCCAGACTGATGGATGAGCTAACATGTGCTTCAGAGAGCATTAACATTTATTAATACGGCCGTCCAATCGCACTTCGAATTGTCGGTCAGGCAAATGTAGTCTTATCGTTGAAGGCACAGCAACTCTGCCCAGTCAACCTATCTAGACTACGCCAGTAATCTCGAACTATATTGTAAAGAACACCCCACTTTGTCAACCTTTCTATCATTACAACACAAGAAACTTTAATCTATTAATCGACTGTAAACAACCATCTTAGTTGTTTGCCTTTCCTGTACCTCTTCGTGACATGTACGACACACCCCATTTTCGTACATATATTTTTCAACACGTGCAATAAGCTTTCAGTTGCGAGTGAGTGTTTGCAGGTGTGTATATTTCTTTCCTTGTCCTACTTCTTTCAGTTTCGCCCTGTAACCTTTATTCCAATCTGTAGAAGGAAAAGTTGGTATGTGCATATCGTGCAAGCAATGCGTACACGACCTAGTTAATGTATTTTATTTTAAAGAATACCAGTTATTTCTAGCGCACTCTTTAAACACCACAACCTTACAATTCACTAGTCGACAGTGCCGATGGCCATTGATTCTTAATGCATCCGTGAACGATGGGCTTCTCCCACACCTCTTAGGCAACTAGATCGCGCGCGTGTGTGTTTCGTTTATGCTGAAGGCGTACTTGTGCTAAAGGATAAAAAATATACAACTGAGGCCTCTGGCCCGCTCGGCTGGTTCACCAGTGAGCAGATGGAAACTTTAGACGGGCCGTTGCAGCTAAATACCGAAGTTAATTAGCAAATCACGCAGAAATATATCGCACCTTACCAAGTTCACTTGATCTGAGAAGCGATAGCAGGGCACAAATGGAAAGCTAAAGCACGAGGCCGACGCGCTCGTCGCGGCGGCTGCTGCGGTGCACAAACTTTCCCATGAGTGCTTGCGCACCCGTTGGCAGCACTCCTGTGCTTGAAAAAGGTCTATTCACCATACCATTGATTTAGCACCTTGGAACCTTCAGAGCAATAGCAGGTGTGACTTTTTTTATTTATTTCAAACTTGCTAAGTGCTGGTGAACTTAATTTCTTTTTACACTGAAACCCCACACCTGAAGCAATTAATTGAGGTGGGCTATGAGTAATTACTCATCGGAAACTTGAAATCACTTTACATTGACCTTATGCAAAACTGTCAATGAAAATGCCAGGTTAATGTATATTTAAAATAATAGAGATAACTTCAAAAATGGCCAACCTGAGATTCTTTTTTAAAAACTGCACCACGAAGTTGGAGATGAGGTCAATGATGATGACAAACTAAATAAACTGGCCAGGCCTGTAAACACTACAGAATTAATGAAGCGAAAAATGACATGTAAAAGTTAATTATATAGCACTGGAAACCATAATCAATTTTTTTTTTCAACTATAGTTTAATGAGTCACAAACATTTATGAGGGGCCACTTAGAGAGTTTAACTAAATATTGTTATGCTCTGATGTTGGCCCTTAGCACCAGCAAAACATTAATTTATAAGTGTTGGTAAAAATTCATTTTTTCCTCATACAACTAGAAAATTAATAGAAGGTAATGGGCTAAATATCTTGAATCAATTGTGCAGTAATCAACGCTGGCATAGCCGGACGGGCGGGTTCATACTTACGCCCCTCAAATTTTTTCCATTTTACGTGCATACAAGAAAATGCACATAAACGAGAGTAGGATCCTCCCAAGAAAAGTATGCACTATTCAAATTCATACATGCCTCATCCGATATTCTCTGATGCGTCAGCTTTCTGTATACTGCACGACTGCTATGAAAATGAGCCATCGCTTGTGCCTGCAGTGATGTGTGTGTTACCGTTCTGGCCTGTCTGTACTGACAGCTTACAGGACAGCATCGAGCCTCAGTCGCACTTGCAGCGGAACATGTCTAGACGACATCCGTGTTATGCGATGGCTGTGTTGAGAGGAGAATGCTAATCATAACTGTTGGAGTCTTATGCCTCCCAACCACAATGCCATTACAAGAGACACCACAACGAAGCGCTCCAGAAAGCCACTGGACTACTTGGGGTTCTTTAATGAGCATTTTAGATTGAGCACACATTTCACCTTCATGAAAACGAGGCCACGGTAGCCCGGTTACAGCCCCACATTCTCCAGGTGAGCACCCAAGTCCCATAACCACTCGACAAGTGAAAGCTAGGAAAAGCAAGAATAATTGTTACTTCTCTCACTTCTCTCGTGTTTGAAGCTACCATAAACTGAACATAGCTTACATGAAGTGCAAAAGAAATAGCCTACTTGTGGGCAGGCCACCATCCTGTCTGGACAGCAAAGTAATGTGCATCTCCTTTGTCTCATGCTGTCTCGGCCAAGCTGTCTATTGATGGCTACGTGAGAATTGGAATGAGACTTTAAGATGGCTATACGTCCAATTAGCTGTCAGTTTTGCCGTCTACAACCAGTATAGAAACACAGCCATGGAGGTGAAAGTGAGAAAAAGGATGCCAGGCCTACGCACAGTACCATCGGAAGAGCAAAAGCTGGAAGAGTAGCCTTTCTAGAGCCTTTTTCAAACTCTCTTGGTGCAGCTACCGGAGGTATACACTAGCATGCTGCTCACTATGCCATAGATATGAATCATAACTTTTGCGAAGCAGGAAAGCTTCCACTATGCAATTATTTGTCCACGTTCGGGGAGGTGTGGTACCCACCACGTACTTGTAAGTGCTGATGCTGTGGCTTATGACGACGGAGAGTAAGGGATGAGCCTGTTGTAACAGATTGGAAGCGTTCCACGACCAATTTGTCATGCAATTCACATCCTTTCACATTTGCTGCTAATTTGCCTTCACTGTTATTTTACTCTTCTCAAGCACTTTATTACATATGTTAACATTTTTCCTTTCCCGCCGTGAAGCCTGCACAGGGTCTGCTTGCCAGGGGAATTCAAGTACTGGCTTGGCTCTGTGGTAAATACTGGGCCGCCACCCAAAGGGCCCGGCTTCAAATCCATTGTATCCTGAACATTTTTTTATTTATTCTGTTTTTTTTTTATTTCACGCTATAGCGCTTACAGAAACCAGCGGCGGTGGACAACTACGGCCCTTGTTGTGACATGATATCAGCTTTGCAGTAAAATGCTTTCCTACACGCACACACACACAGTGGCTCCACCAAGCCAGCTACTTGCCTGAAACGACAATCTCCACCAGGGTGCCCTCGGCCACATCAGAAGCAGCATTGATGGGCAGCAGAATGTTCTCACTGTTGTAGTCGTGCCGGAACAGGAGCAGCCGCTCACTCAGCCTGTTCAGGCCGTGCTCCGGCAGCTGGACAATCCAGTGCATGGGGCCAATAGGAAGCAAAGACAAAGCCGGCTTGAACATGCAACACTACTACCACCACAGACTGCTAGACAGCTGCTGACAAGAAAATACCCAATTGCAAGGCAAGCGGCAAGTGTGATATGCACGTGTAGCTTCTGCTGCAAATGCAATATTACCAACCTTTTAAAAAATTATAAAAAGAAGAAAAAGATAGTGAATTTCGCCCAGTGTAACTATCATAGTATGCATAGAAGTTATGGTAGTCAAGCAGATGCACATTAGTACATGCATTCTTTATTACGTTTTTATGAGCGTCGTTTAAGGAAAATAAACTGAAACAAACTGTAGGTAGCACGCCAGTTACATTATGCTGTGCGTATTCTTATATACAAACCGCTGCAAGGGCACTTTGTCAGTTATGTAATTCATCTCAAAACGTGCATCACAAGACCCAATCACAAGTCTGTACTTGGGCCATATTGACCGGCAGCACTGTGAGAGAAATAAAAATGTTGGTTTCAGTGATGTTCCTCTTACTAAAATTTCTCAATATGTCATAACATGTAATTCGTCTTGGTTGTAAATGCATGTCATGCCTATTATGCCAACACAATGATCACAACTGTCTAATTTGATGCATTCAGGTAGTATGAGACGGGGGTTATTGGCCTGTTGTGAGCTCTTAAAAACGATCATGCAATGCGTGATGCCTTCTGGCAAAAAGAGAATAGCGTTCCACACTCGTGACTTACGTTAAAGCGATACTGAACAAAAATAGGGAAAAACTCGCAAAACATCGAAGTTCTACTCGGAATATGTGACCATTCCGATGTACAGAGTTCTTTTCCCGTATTTTAGAACAGTCGGCTGTATTTTTGATGGATTGTCAACGCGTGGCTGCAGTACATTAACGCGAGCCATGACGTCGTAATCTACAAGGGCACATGCAGAATGCACGTTCCTCTCTTCCTCTTCGTTCTCTCCATCTCTCCTATCATCCCACTCACCCACTTCCCATAAGAGCACTGACACTTTACCCCAGCCAGAACTACCATTTGCTAACGGTGCTATTCATACCGGTTCTGGGAACCATAGGGGGAGATGAGCAAGTCGAGGGTCACGGGCAACGGCTTGCACTGCTGGCTTGCTCGCTTTGGGCTTTTGTGACATCACCAAATGCCAACTCCTCTTATTCATGGCATGGCCGCTAGACGCAGCAGTTTGTGAAAATACAATAAGTTCACCATTTTCTCGTAGTTTATGCCTGGCATGAAAGTTGTCTATGGATTTCAGGAGCCAATATTTTATTCAGTATATTCCTTTCATTTTTGTTCAGTATGCCTTTCAGCGTGGCACTAGATAAATGCAGAATTGCATGCACCTAAGTACCCAACAAAGTGGACTGGCAAACACCTCCCGCCATAGCTCAATATCTAGAGCATCGGACATGTGATCCTTGTGAATCCAGGCTTCACTGAGGGCAAGGGTACTTTTTGTCACTTTAATTAATTATTGTTATGTTTATGTTAACACGTTTGACAACTTTAAGTTTTCAAAACTTCTTGATTTTGGCGCACATCGACACTTCATTTCTGGTTGTGCATTTCTGACGTCTATGAAGCACATCGAAAACAAAAGCAAGGATCCTTGGTGTTCCAGTGCTGGCACCGGAGTTTGTGATCTTTGAAACAACCTACCTGAAGCAATTTAGCACATATTTATCGAGATTGGACAAGACGAAGGACATTGTTTACTGCAAAAAAGGCAGGTCCCCTTATCGCGTGGCCAACTTTACACAGAGACAACAGAGCGATGTCTTAATGACAGGCTCAGGGAACATTGCAACAAAGTGAGGAAAGGTGGCGATGGCAAGTTAGCCACACACTGTTGCATGTGTGGGTGTATTCTTCTTTTTAATTAGAGTTCGATTGTCCATAAACAACTTGACAAAACTACTCGATTAATCATAAAATCGGCAACTATATTCATAAGCTGGGTGAAGATTGTGTTAGCACCCTGTATATAACAACACTGGCATTTGTTTCCTCAATGAAACTGTATCTGCAAATGCATGAGTGTTGGTACAATGCATGATTATGTGTGATACAGATTCAAATGAATCATTCGCAGGAAGTTAACACCTGTGAATGTCTTGTCTCGTATGGACAAATCTGCACTAAATCATTTCGCATATGTTGTACCAACAAGGCCAAATGTAAGTTATTGGTTTGAATCACGACCATCTGTTCAGACTCGTTTTCATATAACCAGGTGGCGGGAGGCACGACTTGATACCTTCGCGCATGCACAGTTGTTATCGGTTCCCCAAGCGTGCACTTTGATGACGTCAATTGGAGCGGTGGGTGGTCTATCTAAACCTGGTTGGCGATGAACTGGAGAGGTGGGTGGTGAAGCGGAACGGTGGGCAGCACTTCCACCGCCACCCACTGTGGGAAGGACCCTGACAGCAGACCAATTAGTGGTGCTTATTTACATTTCTGAATGGACAGCTTCTTCACAATGCACATGCAAGTTGATAAGGCATGCCTTGTTTGCTGTAAACGATTTTATGTAAGACTCATGGGTGCCACTACATTGAGCTCTTAACGCTTTCGCGACTGTTGACGACTACTTTCAAACAAAATGATCGATGAAAACTATGCTCTTCATTGAAACAATTCATCACATGTAGAACCTATGACAACTATATCTGCTTCAGTTGCATTTTTAGATGAAAAATGGCCCCACTCTTCTGCGATTCTCTTTTTTTTTTCAATAAACTTTATTCCTCCTTTTGCTCCTTTGCCTTGCCTCTCATTGCATTGCCGCCTCTGATACTACGCAGTGCAGTATCTTTGTATGCAATTAGAACGAAAAAAAAAGAAAGCCAGGCCTACGTGGAATGCGCAGCACAGTCTCAGCGAAAGCTAGAAGAGCAGCCTTACATAGCCTTTTCTAAACAATCCTTTCCACCTTAACTTCTCGGTAAGTAGGGCACTGCTGCTAACAATATTGTTTTAGACGTCATACATTGAGCTTTCACTCTTGACATAAATTGTTATTTGACTTTAGTGCCCGTTTAAGAGGAGTGCAAAAAATTTACAAAAAATCTAATGTTTATATCGTTACTGAACTCTTACGAAACTTTCCGCAATGGAATGAAACTAAAGCCGAAATGCAACAACAGACATTTTGTTCTGACACCCTGACTATAGCACATCTAAAGACAAATTACAATTAGGAAACAACAATCTGGGTGAGATTAACCGAGGCATGCAGCAAATAATGATGCATGACAACATACTCATACATCTAGACAGAATGCATTTTCATGTGTCCTAATACTTTTAAACAAGCAAGAAATCTAATTTATATGTAATCTTAATGACAGCAGCTATGAGATAACTAAGAGAGTCCACTTGTCAATTCTGCTTATCTCTACATATGTTTACAGTAGTCAGTTAATTGAGCCTGCAGCCACAATGATGTATCAAATGAACATGAAAGCCCATGCATTTTGTCATTCACAGTGCACAAATGTTTAGTCACTTTAGCCAATTAGGTTGCAATTTTACAATATTTACAACTACACAAGAACAGGAATCAATACAGAACTTCTGTTTGAGAAATTCACATTAGCCTTCACATTAGCAGCAATAACATAAAAATCATTAGTACGTACTTATCTAAGCAAGTTTAAGTTATCAAATTGAATTCTGGCATTGACTTGATGAAAAAGACATTACTGGCACGTCAGCAGACCCTGCACAAGCAAGCCGTCAAGAAGACATTATATGTGACAGTATGCGATGTACTTCGGTCTGTCTTCCTCTTCCTTACACTGCTACCCAATTCTTCAGTGCATAGACACCCTCTTCCAATATCAGCAGATTTTGGCAGCATTTATTCACTACATTCAGTGTTCCAGCACTTTGCACCGTGGTTTTATTGGAAGTTCACTACCAAAAACCTCTTATTTTCTTTTCCTCTGCAAATCTCCTAGCCTTTCAGCCAACTGAAACTGTAGTGCTGCATCCTCAAAAAGCTGCCCTAACCAGGAAGCTGACTGTCCTCAATTGTGGGTGTGTCTTTCCGAGACAAAATATCGATGAAAAAAACCGATAACATGAAATCACAAATAATAATAATAAAAAGAGTGCCACTGATTCCCCTGTTGTCTGTAAACATACACACTCCAAAGCAGCCAATGCATACCAATCAGTCCATCAGAATATTGTGTTAATACGAAGCCACAATTTGTGAATAAACAAAAAAATATTATAGTGCACACTGAGTACATAGCAAAAATTATGAAGCAGTAACATGTGCTTTCATTCGGTCTACCGAATCATCGCTTGAGTGACTCGGAAGAATACGGGAAGAAAGTGTCCGGACAAAAACACGTACCCTCTTGTGGACAAAGTTGCACGCAGTGTCCTTGAGTGACTTGAGGTTCATCTCAGTGGCGTCAATGGTGACCGTGTCGCGAACTACCCCGGCTTGCATGAGGAAGGTCACCTCCCCAGCGACGTTCAGCACCGGCAACTCCATTGCCTGCAAAACCAAGCCTTGACAGCTGTGTAGACTGCTTTCCTTTATGAAGTAAGTTGTGGGGCAAGTTCATATATGTTCAAGAATATAAAAAAAAAGAAAGCAGCAAATACAAGTACAAAGTAGTGCAGAAACACAAGAACAATATAGTACACAAAGGCAAGTGCCATGTTGTACAAGAACAGAAGCATGAAGTAGCATAAAAAGACAAGAACACAGTAATATACAATGACAAGTGCAAAGTTGTGCAAAAATGAAAGTACCGAGGAGCACATAAAGGCAAGTACAGAGTAATACAAAAGCAAATTGATTAAAAAACACAAAAAAATCAAGAACAAATTAGTATAGAAATTAGAAAAGCAAGCACATCTTGTAGTGCTCGACCTTACTGCTCCCTCCTACTTCTTTTCTCCGATCTGGGTTTTCTTAGATTACGACGCAACTTGTAGAGTTCTTTCACGAGCTGGCTTCCAACGTTGATGAAGGTGGGCAAACAGATTGTGTGTTTTTAGATTTTAGAAAGGCCTTTGACACCGTGTCACACTCCCTTCTCCTGGCTAAATTACAGACTCTAAATTTCGACCCAAATGTGTTCATCTGGATAACCAATTACTTGCTGAACAGGCGTCAATGGGTTCTTTTAAATGGGAAGTGTTCATCCTATGTTAACGTTACATCAGGCGTGCCCCAAGGCTCTGTCCTTGGGCCTCTCTTATTTCTTATTTTTGTAAATGATATTTCTGTGGGTATTTCGTCGCGCATGTGCTTATTTGACGACGATTGTGTGTTATATCGACAGGTTCAGAACGAAGGTGACTGTGCTTATTTGCAGAACGATTTGTATTGTATTGTACAGTGGTGCCAGAAGTGGCAAATGACGCTAAACCCCAAAAAGTGCGTTCATATGCGTGTTTCCAAAAAAAAGAAACCAATAGTAATGGCGTACACCATAGATACGCATACTGTTATTACCGAACCAACATGCAAATATCTTGGCATTGTTTTGTCGCATGACTGCTCATGGAATGCCAATGTTGATCACGTTGCTGGCAAAGCGGCAAGGGCTCTAAACTTCATTCAGAGGAACCTAAGATTGGCACCCCGAACATTAAAAAATACAGCCTATCTCACATGTATTAGACCGATTTTGGAATACGCATGTCCTGTGTGGGACCCGATGCAGGCGAACTTGATTGATAAGCTTGAAAAAATACAAAACAGAGCTGCGCGGTTTGTTTTAGCGCGGTACGAGCGGAGAGACAGCTGCAGTGCTATGAAAGCTGAATTGGGTTGGGAATTGCTTTCTTTACGCACGAAAAAACTGCGTTTGAAGTTTTTCTATTCTGTTTTTTATGGGCGGACTGGGATTGACCGTCATAACTATTTCAGTGAACCCAGTTACATATCTAGTCGACATGGCCACCGACGCAAAGTGAAAGAGTATCGTGCAAGAAAGACCATGTTTTATAATTCCTTTTTTGTGATGACCATTAGAGATTGGAACCGGCTGCAAGACAAGCAAGTGTGCTGTATAAACGAAGAATTGTTTTATTCCAGTCTGTAACCCCCCTGCTGTAACGCCTTTTTGAGCAAAGCGGGGCACTCACCGAATAAAGAAAAATAAAGATACTATGTACCCCATTGACATCTTGTCATGTTCCTTGTTTTCATACTCAGTGCTCATCTTTTCAAACACACGAATTGACCCTCAGTAATAGCGAAAGTTGGGCTAATTGGTGGTTCATACTTTAGGAAGTAAAAACAGTGCAAAAATATAGACAAGGACAGAGGAAGAGACGACACCGAGCTGACGACACCGCTCTGTCCTTGTCTATATTTTTGCGCTGTTTTTACTTCCCAAGTTTGCCCTCAGCCTTCTCATTTGTCATATGAGTGTCGCATGTTGCTATGTGCATGCATCCTACGCTATTTTACACTGTAAAGGCCGTCCACATACAGAAGCGAGAGCACATATGTTCCTGTGCCGAAACACCACAGAAAAGCCTTTTCTTGAACCTGAGAGCACACCTCAAAGCTGCAAGGCACAAACATGCGAAGAAGGGGAGAAAGGCAACATCTTGGCATAAGCCCCCACTGGACAACTTATGCCACTGCTGTTCCTCTTTGGAAGCTCTCGCCATTCCTCTCCACTTGGTGGTGACGACAAAAGTAAGCCGGTTCCAGATGCTAGCCACCCTCTCCCAATTGCCCCCCCCCCCCAATCCCAACAATCTTTGAAGGCTCAACCCTGAGTGCTCATGTCCACCGTAGTTATTTTGGGTAGTCACACTTTTTATCGTACAGGGACGGATTGAACACACAGCAAACACAGTGTGTTCTCTGTGTCTGTGGCATGTTTAGTCTGTTCCTGTATGACAAAAAGCACGATTACCCAAGATGCTACTTCAACTGGCCCTTGTAGCTGCTCTTATTAGATTTACTTGCACACTACCCACACTGGTTGCCAAATGATATTGTTAAGTATTGGCTAGTTGCTATTTTTACAGCGGCCCTTGTCTTCACTTAATTCAACATTAATGAATTGTATACCTCTCTTATAAACAGCTGTGACCTGTTGCCGTTTTCAGCTTATTTGTGTGCACTGCAGGATGAAGGCCTCTCCCAATGACCACCAGTTTACCACACCCTGTGCAGGCAGGTTCCAATTTATGCCTGCAAACTTCTTGATTTTGTCATTCCATATAGCTCTCTGCCGTCAGCTGAATTGTCCATATCTTCATATCCATTCAGTCGCTCTAAATGAACATCGCTCATCTGTCCTTCACGTTAAGTGCTCCAACTGCTCCTAAATCTCAGGCACTCTTGATTGTTCTCCAATCCCCTGCTCTCATCATGTCCGTAAATGTTATGCCTATCATCTTTTGTTCCTTCACATATGACTTGATTTTTATCTTCTCCTCAAGATCCTTTGCCATCCTCCAAGCTTCCTGCCCCAAATATTAGAACTTTCAACGCACAACTCTTGCCCATTTTCTGCTTTTAGGTACACAGCTGACTGGCTGTGATGATCCAAGAAGTGCCTGCCGTAAATGCTCCAGCCCATCTTTATTCTTCAATAGATTTCCTTTTCATGAGAGTAGGCTCCCAAACATGCTCTGAATGCATCCCGTCATTTCCTTCTTTGTTTAGCTACAGTGTAAAATTTTTTAATTTCCCAGATTCACTGCTACAAGTGTTCATTCTTCTCTACAACTATTCATGACTGGAGTAACCTAGCAAATGATGTCATATTACCTAACACGATGTCATTGCTTGAAAGCAGCCTAGCTTAACTAATGATAGTTATTGTATTGTATTATTTGCTTTATTGTAATTATTGTGTTACTCTGAAAATTTATTGAAATGAGCATTTTTGAAGCTTGGTCTTGTTCATTACATTGTATTTATTTATTCATTGTATCTTGATTGCTTCTCCTAATCATGGTGTAAGAATAATCAAGTGTTGACACTGAGCGCGCTTAAGCGGCCAGATAATGTTCGGGCTTGCGGGCACGCTGTGCTGGGAGCCGTCAGATGGCCCCACGGCCAACGTACCAGGGAACCAGTGCTGGCGCAGTGAAATTCCTCTGCCTCCTAACGTTTTCATTCTAAGAGGTGTGACCAACACTTAAGGCGCGAAGGAAAGTTGTTATTTAAGATAAAAAGATAAAAGTTTACCAGGTGTATAGATTCATTAACAGGAAAATGCATTGTGCAGGGTGTGAACGTCGTTTGCACAGATGATCGGGGAGTTCTCAAAGCAAAAGTCCGCTCGCGCACATTAGCATTTTCGTTTGTTCCCAACATTCCTTGATGATAAGAAAAAAAGAAACGTTAGCCAGCCAGCATGCTATCACACTCTTAAAATACTTCCCCTTGGGGAAGAAAAGCAAGTGTAGTGGTGAATTAGCTAGGCAATCACCAGTGGGACCATCTCTTGGTGCGAAGCGCGAGCGGTGTGCACGAGCTGGAGACGCTGATCTGTTTGAGTATTTCCATCTGTACCAGCTGTCTGCCTACTACCAGGCATTGTTAAGGAACTTCCACGAGCTTAGATGTAGGTGCATGTTTAACAGTCCCGGATGGTAAAATTTGACAGGAGCCCTCCAATACAGCATCTCTTGTAATCTAATCGTGGTTTTGAAGTGTAAACCCCCAGTAATAATTATTACCCCTCTATTAAAAGAGAATCGCTACTGCACCAGCAACGCATTTCACGTGCAGCAACGCATTTCACGTGTATTGCAGCTTACATTTACACAGGCAATCGTTGAAGCATAGTTGCGCTTGTTTCATGTGAACACGATATAAAGAAATGTTTGAAATGCACAAATATTTCATATACAGCACACTAAAGCAATGCGGTTGTTCATGGCTAGATGTTACGATGCGAATTCACATATTTTTGTCAACGATCAGCGTCAGACGATTACGGTTAGACGACACTTTGAAGAGAGGCACACGCTCCGCACAAGTTCGATAGCCAGAACAGCAGTTCGGTACAAAACACGTTCTACCCATTTCGGGAGCCTTTCAGCGATTTGATGTCACCTTCGTCGATAGAATACCATACAACATATGCAAAAAAAACTGGCTTCAAAATAGCGCTGTCACACATGCCAACAAAAAGCCCCAGAATCAGCAGCATGTGCGTTCCTACCGAGCATGTAGCCGAGACGGTTAACCCTGCTCGTCGTAGTGCCATCTAAGAAGGCACCAATGAAGCTGCGAGATAACTGATAACGGCCGGAACATTACCTAGACACGCTGGCATTGCACTTTTCAATGCATGGTGAGGAGAGTGTCAACACCTGCATATTCTTACACTGTGGTCCTAATGCATGTGCTTGTTCTCAAACGCTTTCCCCACCCTGCCATGATCTTTCATATGAAAGATTGCACCATTTATAAATAAATAAACTTGCACAATTAAGTCTCATATGCTTTTGAATTCATTGCCCACTTTTTGTCGCCGTGAGAGGGTTAAAGGAGGCTAAGATATGGCAAATCAGTCGGCCAGATTCAGCACGGTGCAATGAAAGCTTATAACAGGGAAAACTGAGATAGACTCGTTTTTCATTAAGCAAGCTTTTTTGTTGTTGTTTTAAAGTCCATGTACATTTCCTAGTAGCTCTGTGCTACGAACAGGTGAGCGTCAGTTTTTGCTTTCATGAGATGCAGGTATTTCACAGATACATTTAATATGCATACACGTCAAACACAATTGCGGGTGCAGATGGTGGTGGAACGCAAGAACGAATGCTGATTAACATTTTAGTAGAACCAAAGTTGGCATGTGACTAATGTGTACGTATTTGGGAGCCGTGAGAAACAAGTGAGCAAGTAAAAGAATACATAATCATTGCCTCTAGTTTTTCGTTTGCAGATTAGGCAGCACAGAGCACGTATATATTTTCTCTGTTCAAGGTGCATTGCCCTGTTTACCACGCACATATCTACGAGTGAATCGCCTCCCTGTCCTTACATACTGAGAACAAAGGGAGCAATTCTGTAAAATCTTTCAGGACATCCAAGTAGGGCATGACAAGTCCACGGCCTAGTCTTACCGCAACGTGCTAATCAAATGAAGCACAGCCCGTGATCCTCTTTAAGTGTCACCCTTGAAGACAGGCGTGAATGCTACGCGGCCGCACTCTTTCTCGGCCGCACCATTCATTCTTAGTCTGCGCGCGCCGTTCACACGACAGCTCAAAAACGTGGTGCGAGAGATTGCGACGAAAAATGACATACCGAAAATAGCGCGCCCAGCAATGCGCTACAGATGGCGCGATTTGCCGCATATGTAGACACAGGCACGGTGGTCAGCGCGCGAGCGGCTAGTTCGAAGTGGGGGCCGAGAAATTCTAGCTGGACGCCCCGCGCGCATCCTGAGAACGAAGGCAGCTGCGCGCGTTCCTTGTCACGCGATTCGGCATCCGCACGCCACTGGACAGCTAGCCGAGTGACCGGGACGAGGGCGAGGCTGGTTTCGCAGGCCAACCCCGAAACCTTGCTCGCTTTGTAGACCAAATAATTCCGAAGTTCAGAGTCGCCTCCGCTCTCCTTTTTCAGCTGCGCCGCGTTACGAAACGAGGGTGGGCACCTCGGGCAACGAGACTTCCGGTCAAGTTGCGCGCGCGGATAAAAACAAAACAGAGAAAGAAAGAAACAGTGAGCATGACAATTACGGCGGCGAATTGCGTCCGCGCAGTTTTGCGCAACGAGAAAAACAAAAAAAACTAAACGACTACTCAAGGACAAGAGGCGGGCGTGTGTCCGCGAAACTGGTAAAACCGCAGGCAGCGGCTGGACATTTTTATTTCTGCATTGCCGTTAACTTTTTTTTTTGTTTTTCTTTCCCTGACACACCCGTCTTGTTTCGCGAGCCATACTCGCTACACCGAACTCGCACCGCTGACAGAGAAGCTGTGCAAGAATTAACATAGCAGGACGGCAGCACTTAAAAAATAAATGTAACGTCCCCTGCCATACATTCACTGGATGTATGTCAAAGACCAGGCGGCAGCGGTTTAGGATAACAACGACAACAAAATGAATGCACATACCTCAGCTTGCAAGCTTGAAACATATCGCGGCAGATGTGAACGAACGCTGAAAGAAAGCTCGGCGCCAAGGTCCGGTTTTACCAGCTGTTTTTTGTCCGTCCGACACGCGGCCCGCTTCTGGGGCGCTGGCGTGTGTCAGCGACGGGGGTCACGGCGAGAACCAGCGGGCATGCGTCGAATGAAAGTTTTCGTCCGCTTGGAAATGAAGGCGCGATCGCCTCGAAGGAAACGAAGACCTAAACTGGGCAGCCGCCGATACGACTGCGGGGAAATCGCAGCAACGAAGATTGCACCGCGCGCTCGGTCCGCCTGTGTTTTCCTCGGAGTGCGCTCGATCTATCGCGTCCGCGAATCGTGCAGTGCTACGACGACACCGAGAATTAACGTGCGCGTAGCGTGGCTCGTGATTACAAAGAAGACATAAAATAAAAGCTTGATCAGCGACGGGGAGGTGCGCCAACTGCGCGTTGAGGTCGTGTACTAGCTAGCAAGCCGGTAATTTACCATTCTGCCCGCCGCACTTATTTATTGCATTTTTTTTTCTTTCGAAGGTCGCGCTGCCAGTGCTGGTTTTCGCGGTGCGCAGTGGGGACGACGGAACGCACTGCACAGTGGGCCAGACGAACTGCCAACGCGACAGGATCGAGGGGAGTGCGTTCAAGAGCAACGATGGAAGATCCGGTTTCCTGGCAAGGCGAAAATCACCCGACCACTAGCCGCTGGCGAGCGCGCTAAAATTGGGGGAAGGGTCCCTTACCGGACGGCGGCAGGTCGTCCCCTCCAGTGTTGTTCTCCACGGCCGGGCAGCCGCCGGTCAAGCAGGGAGAAGACGCATCCCCGCACCGTGAGCGAAACGCCACGGGTGAAAGCCCAGCGAAAAATTACCGCGGGCAGCAGCACAGAACGCGCGGACGCACCACCACAAGGAGCACACGCACTGTAAACACCGCTCTCTCCCATGGAGAGAACAACCACTTGCTGAACACCTTAAAAACTGAGACAACTCTTAGTGAGACAACCTAAAGGTTCGACAACAAACGAGAACGCATGGTGAAACAACGTAAACAAGCGCTTTACCTGTCACCTCACGGCTAAAATCAAAGTGTACATAAACCGTTCGCACGTGTGTATAATGAAGCTTTATTGTATCATTGCTAGATGGCGCTAAACTCGTAAAATTTTCAAGTTACACTTTTGATCACAAGAGTGCAACAATCGATTGTGATGTTTTTACAATATTGTTTCTTAATTGTAATATTTGTACGTTAAATGTTATTTTAAAACGCAAATGTGTGTTTTTGTGTAAATATTATTTAGTTTAATCTTTATAATGTCTCAACTTTTATTTTTTGTAACATTGTCGGTGGCAGCGCTCCTGCTGAAACAACGCCTCTTTTAGAAAGAATGCCTGCGACATCGCACACTTTCCCATGGGACAAGAGGTTCCTCATAGTTCAACGTTTTCTTTGCAAGGAGCGCTCGCAACCAACACTACTTACTATCGCTCGATTCGGAAGTGACGCCTTCACAAAGACACGACTGTATTGCCTCCGAGACGTCAACAAATATTGCTTTAATCTTGTGTCGGCGCTCGACGCCGACACTGTTTGGGCAGCAGAGGAAAGAGAACAGGAGAGAACCGGGAACCTGCTTTTCGGCTCAAGTCGAAGGCATCTTTTAGAGGAGGCGTTGGCTGAGAATTGACGTTTACAGAAGCGAGTAAGTGTTAGTGCCACTAACTTTTTAGCCACTATAGAAACGAAACGACGCGGACGATTTGTGTACGGAGTGCGATGCGCCGACTGGGTTGGTGAATGCCGGTGGTTTGCATAGTTCGTTTCCTTTGGTAGCCTATTAACTGACGAACTGTCTGGTTGTTTATTATCAAGGAAGCCTAGTGCGCCAGCCGATGTTTGAAATTCCGGATTAAACGATACTGCATCGCGATGTCGTCTAGCTCGCGAATGAATGAATTGCGGCGCGCATTAAGCAGAGTGGCCGATTTCACGGAGGCAAACAAGTCGTTCATCAATGCCCACATGGTGGACTTCTACACAAAACAACACTGGGAGCGACTCGTGGACGCCGATGTCGGCAGAGATCTGCTCAGCTTGACTGAAGAAGAACTCTTGTACCTGGGAACTGAGCAGTTCATGAACCTTGAATGTGTGAGGTAGGCAGCGAGATTTGGCTGAGCTCTGCGAACGCGTTCACATTTTTCATTTTTATCTTACAATGTCGAAAATTTCTTGATACCACTTAGGCATTTCTTAGGCGATGCACGCGTTGCTGGGACGGAAAGAACGTCGTACAACGTCCTATCTCTCTCTCTCCCTCTCTCTTTAATGCGTTTTTAAGGCAGCGCATTGCAAAGTTCGGTTTTCGTGTTATGCACCGTTAACTTTAGATTTGCAGTTAATTATAAGCTGATCAGGTCAAACAAGGTTGCCTTAAAATTTGAATATTAAGAAATTACATCGCATGCAAGCGTAGTGGATCTTCAAGCATATGCGAATCTCGAAAACATCACCTGTTTGAGGGCACATGTTAAGACGGAGGAATAGCGCGAAATACGAGGACGCAGCAGCTGCACACCGCTGCGAATACCGTATCGCACGCAGAAGGAAAGTTTAGCTCCATTTGACATCGTAAATACTCTTCTTGGGATGTCAAAATAAAAGGGGGTATTTCGGTTGCTTCTCTGTAGCACAATAATCGTCATCCACCTCGTGTGTCTTACCTCTCGTTACGAAGCGCACCCGAGTCAAGAACTGCCTTTGCATTATCAACGCTCTGTAGCATCCGCGAGCGGATAGTAGGAGGTGCACAGTTGTCGAAGGAAACGCGAGCGTGGAGGGGGTTGCCTATAAAGATGTACACTTTCGTTTTGAGTGCACTGCATGTCAATTTGGCCAAAGTAATCGACTACGGGAATGAGAGACATACACCTTAATATATCCAAATAGTACTGTGGCCCACATCAAAGGCGCCTTCTTCTCAGCCTGCATAATATTAATAGGGAGTTTTAGAATAGCGCACCGCGAGCCCTTGCGGTGCGGTAGCTGCCACTGCGCATGCGCCGTAACGAGAGTCGGCGTTCGCGGACCGCACGCAGAAAATCCGAAATTGCGTGCGGCAATCGCGGCCAGCAAGCGCTGGTTTCGAGGCTACGGTGTCGCTCTGATCGTGCGTTGCTGTGCGGCAGGGCAGACGCTATTCTAAAGCTCGCATGGCGCCCGCAGCGCTTGCAAACGGTATTCTAAAGCTCACTAATAATATCGGGTGTTTTACGTCCCAAAATAACTATGACTACGAGAGACGCTGTACCGGAAGGCTCTGCAAATTTCGACTATCAAGGGTTCTTTAACGTGCACTGACATAGCAAAGGACATGGGCATATGCCACCGCACGCCAGCTATCACCACTCCAAGAAAAGAACGAGTAAAACGGGCGACCTCTTGTCCCGCAACAGTAATCGTCACCTGGCTTGCTTGCATTTCCTTTCTTGATAACTTGGCGCTGGCCGAGAATGCTGTCACGATGATAACGCGCATGTTCGTGCCGTTTGCGGCAATGACGCCAAGAAACACTGAAAATGTTTAGAATTGAGTATTTGGGGGAGTATTCCTGCCACAAAGCTACTTCCAGTTCCTTGCGTTATCGTCGCAGTTGCGGCACTCCCCGGTAGGGAAAGCAAGCCAGAAAGGCAATTACAATTGTGTGGCAAAAATACCCCTCATATGCGGTGTTGAAAAAAAAAAAAAAAACACCCCTTTCACTCGTTCCCTTTATAGAGCGTCTATATCTACCACGTGCAGGGCCGGTCGTGTGCCAGCGCTACAGGCCTTGGCGCTCCAATTGGAGCGTCACACTCTGTCCGCGCTCGGGGCTCTCAGCAGCGGAGACCGTCTCGCCCACCCGGCGGCCTATGGCGAGAGCGGCATAAACAGCTTCGCTGGGCGCGGCATGAGCCCCAAGAAGGAGCACGAGGTGGACGCCATGGCTGAGCTGGTGGCCTCGCTCGCACACCGCCTGGGAGTCCGCCAACTACTGGACCTAGGCAGCGGCAAGGGATACCTGGCCGCGCGGATGTGCGGGCCACCGCACGCGCTCAGAGTCCTCGCCGTGGACAGCTCGGAGGCGAGGAAACCGCAGCGCCCTCGAGCGAGCCGCCAAGATGCTGCAGGGCGAAGGTGTTGAACGTCTGCGGACGCTCACGGCCAGGGTGGACGACAGGTTCGACGTGGAAGCTGCCCTGGGCGGAAACGAGGAGGAGCAACTCCTGGTGTGCGGTCTCCACACGTGCGGCGAGCTGGGACCCAGCGCCCTGCGACTGGCCGTGCGCGGAGTACCCCGGGTGCGAGGGCTGTGCCTGGTTGGCTGCTGCTATCACCTGCTGGAACGTGGCTTCCCGATGTCCCGGGAGCTCGGGGCTCGAGGTTGTCAAGACCCCGGTCGTAATGCGCGCATGCTCGCTGCCCAGTGCGCCGACCGCCGCCAAGAGACTGGCAACACGCTCTTCTGGCGGGCACTGCTGCAGCTCATGCTGACAGACGAGGAACGAGACTCCGGGAAGCGAGTGGGTCGCCTAGCAGTGACTGGAGTGTTTGCCGATTACGCAAGAAAAGCTCTGCGGAAGCTTGGTCGGGATGTCGTCGACGAGTTGGCACTTCGGGTGCAAGCGCAGCACCTGGAGCACGAATACGGGGGTGAGCAGAGACGCCAGCTGTTGGCATTCCACCGTCTGCGCATTGCTTGGGCCGGCTGCATCGAAGCACTTTTGCTTCTGGACAGACTAGTGTTTTTGCTCGAACAGTGGCCGACAGTGGCGGAGGCACACATAGTTCGGCTGTTTGACCCGACTGTGTCGCCACGTTGCCATGCTCTCGTGGCACTCATGCAACATGTTGGAGGAGAGTGAAGTGAAACATAGTGGTTGTAGGATGTCTGGCTGACCACAATCGTTCAGAGTTCTAAATAAGAATGACGATGTGGACGCGTCGGTTTATATGATCTGTGCGAAACAAGTATGGAAGTACCTAAAGGCGAGGACTGACTGAGGAACCAAAACCTCGTTTCCTTATTCAGCATTGATATTCTTCCCTCTTTTGCTTCCTCAGTCTTTCAGTGCCTGTATTTATGCACTTCTGTGCATCGCACCGCTCATCTTCACCGTAACCAGTGTTCTCTGTAACTGGAAAACAGCTTCGCCACACCAGCTAAGTGCCGACATCAGTAGGAGGAAATTTCTACTACAAAAATAGTGTAGAACAATGACAGGTTTTCTTTTAAAAAGCACAGAACCGGCAAGAGCCAATGTGGGTTTTGTCACCAAGGCTCATAATTGAAACATTCATAGAGAACAATATCACTTCATACAAGTAAATTTGATTGAATGGATGCTTGAGCTCATTACTGAGATGACAAAACCACATGTTTCTCGCAGCTGTTTTTAACCAGATTTTGTCTTTTACTGTTGATCAGACCATTACTAAAAAGTCACCTTTCACAGATTTGGGTTAAGGTCATCTGGCAACAGCATGTTACAAAATAGCGAGTCACGTGCTATAAATTTACGCTTAAAACATTCGTTCCAGCTTTAACTAGGATACAAATATTTGGCCTTGGGTTGCAAGTACGCTGGCATCAGGCACAAGAACACAATGCTTTGAACTGCAGGCCAGACATTAACATGTGCACTTTCCCGCTTTTACAGCCCGCTTTTTTGTAAGGAAAGGACATCCCCAGGAACGATAAAAGTGCTAGAGATCCATTGCCCCAACTGTATGAACCCACATCTATGCAATATACTTAAGTTTAGGACTGTGAAAATGTTAATTTAATACAGCAAACCTGAAATCCTTGCAAAAAGCAATGTGCATGTGTACTAGAGGGGAGGGGACATTGGTTTTTCTTATTTTAACAAAATGGCTATAAATATGCTTGGTTTGGCGTCTGCACCATGATTATAAGCAGAATGCACAGCAAGGGTGAAGAAAAAGCAGTAGTGCAAGAAAGTATATGCAAAAAGATTGCAGCTTTCTCGTGTCTACAATCAATGACAACCTTGTGCATTCATAATGGACTATTATAGTATTGTAATATATTTCAATTCTTTTCTTTGCCAAGTTTGATTTCAGTTCTTACATTCTGTATACATGCATGTGTCTCTGAATGGGTAAGTTCAATGTCATAGTGTTATGTGCCTTGTTCATCGAGATGACCTACTATACTTTCTGTGAAATTGCCAAGATGAACAGCCTAGTCAGGAGAGACCTCCAATGCAAAAGCCCACATGTAGCAGTGGATTGAGGGTTTCACATTAGAGATTTTATCCACTTCCACAAATTTTACTTAGAGTATTCAGTTGCATCTTTGTAAATAAACGGTGCAGCCCTTAGTGTCACAATACTCATATTTCCTTACTCTTGTATTGAAATAAATATGAATGTAGTGCCACATTTTTCTTGGAGTATTATTTGTGCTCATATGAGAGCCAGAGTTTCATAGATGAACAATAGCTGCATTGTTAATATCTTTTATATCCAATGAACTATATCAAAAACAGCAGCACAGATAAACTTTTCAGAGCAATATACAATTGAGAATTTCCATGAACTATAACAAGCCAAGATGCAACACACGTTAATCACAAGCATCATTTCACATTTTGAACTGGAAAGCACTTTAGGGGCCAGGGCTGTTATTATCTGTGGTGTGTTGTCATCGTTTCATGTAGCTGGGCGTAATGCTGGCAACACCATTGTTGCATGCCGAGGCAGCAACCACAATTAAGTATGCGGAGGTGCAAGCAGTGCTAGCCCTGTCGCATGCTTGCGTACAAATGCAGCAATGACGCCAAGTAAATCATAGTTATACGTAGCACAGCCATGTATAGCAAGAGGGCAGGAACAGGAAGTGAGGCTGATGCGAAGATGAAGAGGGAAAGGAGAGGAGAAAGAACATGCTGTCATTGTGTTCTATCGTTTTAATGTTGCCGCTTGGTGTCACGCTCACAAAACAATGTACAGCATAAGCATGCACGAGGGGCCGGGCAAAGGAAGAGAAGGTGAGAAGTGATGTGAGGGTTAGGAGGAAGAGGGTAAAGCATAGCATAGTCATGTATGCCACCATGCAGGCTAAACCATGTACAGCATAGCCATGCAGAGCAAAGAGGCGAGAAAGAGAAGGGAGACAAAATCTATTTATGAGTTATGACAAGTGAGCCTCTGATAGCCAATTATAGGAAGCGGGTAAGAATTGGAAGTGTGTGCAAGAAAGGGGAGCAGAGCATAGCCGTGCATACTATAATAAATATATCGGACGGTAGAGTAATACGAGGTTGTGCAGCGATGAAAGACAGAGCAGGGAAAAAGGTTCCATTGCATCACAAATGAAGGTCTGTGTTCCTGCCATGGAGTACTAGCAGGCTACAAGGCTGCAACACCCGTGCATCCTTCAGCGATGCTCACAGGCTGGGTTCGTCCTGTCTACTTCTACTATGGCGTTTTGTCCCAAGCGCAATGCGAGTTCACATAACAATGTCTTATCAACCAGCCCTTCAACATACGCTCCACGAGTTTGCCGCTGAAGAACAGGCAAATCACTGCTCTGCACTCTCTACAGTTCCGTATTTAGTGCAGCTTGCAGCTGAATCATTTTTTTTTTCCACCATTACCACACTTGGAATTATTTCTCTCTCCAGTAAAGGACACATAAGAAAATTTCATGCCCTGGTCTCAAGCACAATGCATAGCATCGCACAACTACTTTTGAAGCAAGAGGTTGAGACTAATATGCTGGAGCGTAAAAACACTATATCAGACATGAAGAAGTAGCTGGCTGGTTGTTTTTGACAATGCTTCATTGATGGCAGCTCATTATTTATGTTAGCCATTTGCTTGATATGTTCTCCATTAGGTGGACATAGTTGTCTATTTCTGAAGTTGTTTGTTAATGTGTGCATGTTCCTTTAGTGGCGAAGGGTTTTAGTGGCACACTGCCGGCATTTGTCGATACATGGCGATGAGCGAAAACTCGGCTGTCACAAACTCACCAATATGCCTACAAGCCGCCGAGTGAGCTCTATTTTTTTCGCCGAATCCCTGCCATACAAAGTAAGGAACCCCTCAAGGCCATGCTTAGTTTGAGAGGTACACGGCAAAAAGTCCAAGAGCTGATGGGAGTGCAAAAATTCAATGTTGTTCTTCAAACCCCTGTGCGCTTTCTAAGTTTTACACACACAAAATTCATACTGAAAGAGTTGATGCAGTGAAGCAAACAGAATAAAACAAGATGTGTCATTTCATGATGCTTCTCAGGGATTTTACTGCGATTTATATGCACCGACTCGCGTCGCCTACAGGTGCGAAACTTTTCCTACGAAATACCAGGCAGGAACGGCCGCGAAGCGCACGGAAGCCAAAAAGTTCAAGGGCGTCGTTTCTGAAATGGAAATGACAGTATATGTATCTGCAAGCACTGTATTGGCTAGGTGTTGAGCGAGACTGGCTAAAATATGCATGGAACTAGGCATATAAGGAGTCTCTAAAACAAAGCTTTTACAAGTGGATCTCATTTACATGTATTGTATTCTAAAATGAACATCCACTCACCTGTATGGCATAACCAAATGGCTCAAGAAAGAAACACACGACAAACAGTGGCAGAGTGAACACTGGCCTTGTCTGTGTTCCAATTTTAGCAGTCGTTCGTTAGTGTTTACGAATTGTGAAATAGTACATCAATTCTGACGTTTCAAAAGTTAAAACTTTTCTGTGCAATGATGAAAAAGAAATAGCTTTCTACGTGCTCCTTCAATAAGAAATCAACTATTGTGACGCAGGGAACACGTTAAAGCCAGACATGTCTCCGAGGTGACCGAGCTCTTTGTGAATGATGCGCATCTAAGCCAAGTCAGCATCTCACATATCCCAGCATTCCTATGAGTCTAACAGCTTGCAGCCCCGATTATCTCTCTAGGCAAGTGCAGGAAACTCTGACATCAACACACATTTTTTTCCTTCGTACTTAGACTGTGCTACGATTAGACTACATTGTGCTACCATATTAGACAATTGAAATGGTGAACTTGCACCAAATTGTCCAGTTGTCTATTCTGTAAGATGAGCATGAAAATACGAGATGTAGGACATCCTTCAGTGGCACTGGTGCATCAGCGAAGCTTTTTAATGACACACCTTGGTTCCTTGGAAAAAATTACATCCAACAGATAACGAGCATACATGTGGCTTTTTCTAGGCATGGTTGTTACTGGTAGTTGGTGCAGATGACTGAGCCGCAAAAAAGATTTCGTGAAACAGGAGGAGCAGAAGGAAGAAAGAACAGCGCCAATCTTTGCTGCTCCTGTTTCACGAAATGTTTTTTTGCGCCTCAAGCATCTGCACCAAGTATGCACCATCTTGCCCAAAAACAAGTCTTTTTGTCACTGGTAGACTTAGGCTCTGAAGCACACCTCCAAAAGATATTTGAAATGCGTAAGTCAACCTCTGGTCGAGTCGCGGCTCTAGGTTTCACAAGCAGGTGTCAGGGGTGGTACCTGTAACGTGCCTCGAAACAATCAGGCCTAGCAGATTGCAAGACCAGCTTTTAATTGGTTCAGGCACCAACTTTGGGTGACGTCTTCTGAGTGCTGTTGATCTTGTCGCCCAGACTTAGTGCCATACCCTGTGGGGAGAAAGAGTGATGTTTTTTTTTATAAAACTTTTTTTAATGATGCTTCTATATACAAGTTTAAGATGCCAAATTTTACAGCAGACACGGCATCACCTCAGTAATTGTATGACATGGGCATAGAAAATGGGAAAGTTGGGGGGTTCACCAATTTCTTAATTTATACATTGATTGATTTATTTGTTGGGTTTAACGTCCCAAAACCACCATATGATTATTAGAGACGCCATAGTGGAGGGCCACGGAAATTTCGACCACCTGGAGTTCTTTAATGTGCATCCAAATCTGAGTACCCGGGCCTACAACATTTCCGCCTCCATCGGAAATGCAGCCGCCACAGCCGGGATTTGATCCTGCGACCTGCGGGTCAGCAGCTGAGTACTTTAGCCACTAGACCACCGTGGCGGGGCCTTAATTTGTACACTTCTTACGTGTACATATACATGCACACACACTAACACACACATGAACATGCATAAAGGAAAGTAGCGCGTACATAACTTGCTCAAAGGATGCGCCAAGCACTAGGCCTTAGGCATGGGCATCTTTGTAAATTTATTGAACCTCTGACGAGATTGTCATGTGGATCGAATGGCTTCACAGCAACAAAGAAGAACACCGAGTGGAATAGAAGCTCCTTGACACCAATGCTGGGTTTTGCATCCTTTTCCTTTGGCACGTTTAGACCCTGAACCATGGCTTCTACGCACTTCGTACTGCCCAACACAGTATTTCCTGACTGTACCACACTTTCTGCAGCTACAGCGTAGTACTCGCACACTATGATAAAAAATGTGCAGCATAACAAATGCTCGAAAGGCAGAAGTGCCTTTCAATACGTCATAAACTAGGTTAAAGTGTTCGACAACATGAGACAGGAGACTGCTATTGTTTGAGCACTATTAGTAACCAACTCACAACAATGTATTCCTAAAAAAAAAAAAAAAAAACTTGCATACCTGGCTCTTTGCACGTATGCGGATGTGTCCCACGACAGGTGCATCGGGGGTGTTTGGGTTCTTTTCGATGCTCACATTAGCCAGAGCATCCTCACCAAATATGGACCGCGCATACAGGTTGGCAGCCATGAAAGCCACACTCTCCCGACAGAGCCTGCACATGTTTGGTAGCGAACAAAATGACACTGCTTTCTGAGAAAGGTTCATTAAGCAATGTTTCTAAGCTACTAATTGACGTCTTAAAGCACAGCTCAAGCGCCCAGTTTCTGCACTGAGCACCAGCGTTCCTCATCCATTGTAACTGAGAGAACGAACACAGCGAAAGATGAAAGTGAGTGACGAGACGTCTTGAAAGAGGGTGAGAAGAAAATAAAGTGTGACACAAAACTAAGAGATGGTGCCATAGTACAGTAGACTTACTATTGCGTTTGTTCTAGAATTCTGCACCTGTGTTCAGAACTCAGTAAATAAAACTCCTGTAAAATGAAACGTACCGTATTTACTCGATTCTACCGCGCCCTCGATTATAACGTGCACCCGATTTCCACCGCAAAAAAAAAACAAAAACGTAAGACATCGATTGCAACGCGCACCCATTTTTCTCGCTGGCCCGCACGATCACACCACTTGAAAAAACGACTCCTTTCGGGTGCGTCTTCCATTTAAATATGAGGCACGGGCGAAGCTTGTGCCCATCTGACGTGTAACAGAGCATTGCCGTCACTGTAGTTTTACCGTGGACCGATGTCAGCAAGCGAACTTGCTTCGCCCCGTTCTTCTCGACGGTTGTGGTGCCAGGCATGTCGAAGTA